AGAAATGAGCACTGGAAGGACTAAAAAATGGAGTGTCGGTATACCTGGTAGCTGCAGAGATCCGCAAAATAAAGAAAAGGTGCATCTTGTGATGGACTACCAAAAACTCAACCATCACGTTGATGCATTCACCACTAATGCAGATGTCTATGCAGCTATGTGAATGGTGGTAGAAACATTCAAACATATCTCGGACCTCAGGAGAGTGTACCTCAAAGCTGCCACTTTTGTGATCAGGAGATTGTGGGGAGTGTTGAGAATTTCCTCAGAGGGCCAAGAGGGCTAGAGTAACGTAGTCTAAATGTGCATATAGGACAAGCAAATTGCTAGCAAGGTAAAAGGGTGAGTATTTGTTGCCAGAAGGTTTGCGTATTCAATGCATTTCATGTTGGTGCATACTGAACCAGAATCTGTTGCGAGTGTGTTTCTAGTGTCTGTGCTACAGTATGGAGTAATGGACAGCTGCTCGGATTGAGGAATTGTAGAACTGAGTTTGAATTCCAGTCAAGTTCATTACATTCACTTACATGCGAATAACCTTGAAAAAGGTATGAATCCCTTTCTTCTGCCCCCAGCTATGTGTAAATAGCAAGACAGATTGGGTCCTATAGCCTTGAGTGGCAACCAGTCTAGGAGAAAGACAACTATGAATTCAGAGATAAATATTGGTGGTATGGCAGTAGAATCTGAACCTTTCCACCAATAACCAATAATGCTTCCTACTTTATTATATTGGCCCAAAATTTCAGAGATCTCAAAGAATAATCTTTTGTAACATTTTTCCTTCTTAGTAACTTGGCCAGAACACAGAGAGTCTGTGAGTTTGAACTTCCCCTTCTTGAAATGGAAAAACTGTGCCATTCTGTCAGTAACAAAGTCATCTCTGTACACAGCACAAATGTCTCAAGCAGCTCTGGCATCTGTGTGACCTTGATTAAAAGCTAAGAGAAAATTATGTTGAACATGCTCATTCTTGTCTACTTAGCATTCCATCTCAAAGGGGTGTCTAATCTAAATTAAAATTGCAATAACATTAGACAACAGTTTCACAGAATAACCACAGTTACTAAGAAGCAAAAAAATGTTACAAAAGATTATTTTTCAAGATCATTCACTGACCATCAGAAAAAAAAAGAAATGAATATATGTAACAATGTAATAGTTATTCAGACCCATTCATCCTGAGTTATCATGCAATTTTGGCCTAAGTGTGGAGTTTAAAAGATTTGCTGTAAAGCATCATTAGAATCTAGGAGCTGTGGCTACCAACTCCCTTCTCTAACCACTTTCTCTTGTGTGAAGAAGAAATTTTCAATTGTAGAACTTTCATGCACAGAAAACTTAAATCTAGTAAGAATTGTAGACAATTTTTGGTTGCAGGTCTGATTCTGCTGTAGTAAATTAATTACTAAAGCAATGAACTAGTAAACGTTGACTGTATGAGAACTAATTGATCAGTCCTGAGGGATTAATATGAAAACTTGTAACTCTAAATGAAATATTCACATTGTTACTTTAATCAAAGTTATTTTCATCTGTAAATCCCTTTCTTTTTTCTTGTGATCAGATTCATTTGACTCAATTGACATTTCAACTAACTTCTCAGAAGAATTTGTCAGATTTAAACTCAACACAATGTGAGAAGAGTGGTTTGAAGAATATTTTTCCTACGTTTGTTTTTACGTTCTTGCTGTACGGTGGGTTGAACCATATGATATTTCTTCTCCTGTTGGCCTTTTTTGTATTCTGTGGTGAATATGTGAGTATTGCTGGGAATCCACTATCTTTTAGGGCCGTTTCATAGTCTTTCTTAGCTTTGTTAAATAGGGATTCATTGGAGGAATTGTCAGAGAGCCTGCGGTTAATCAATTTTGGTATCTGTTTGATTATAGAAGGCGGATGGTTGGAAGATGTGTGTATGTAGAGTGGTTTATCATTAGGTTTTCTATATGGTTTATATGTGCCTTCTCTTAGGTTGAAGGTAACATCTAGAAAATCTACTTCGTTTAGGTTAGTTTTTATATCTATGTCGAATCCGTTATTTTTAAAAATCTTTATTATTGCTTTTCTAGTTTTGTCTGTGTTTTGTTTGTTACAGTTTCTTAAGATTATGAGACCATCGTCCCTGTAGAGTCCTGTGTCATTTCTATCTATTATTTTGCTCAGTTCGTGTAGTAAGTAAATGCCTATGATTTCGCATGCCCCTGCACCATCAAAGCTTCCCATTGTAGTGTCAAATATCCCATCTTTCTTTATCCATGCTTCTTCATTGTGGAATAATAATGATTTACGGGAGTGCTTAATGATGTTGATTTCGCTTGGTTTTATTATTATTTGTTCCTGGGCTAAGTTGATGGCCTATCTAGCATACTTTCTGTTATGGATGGGTAAAATTCTTTTATGTCTAATTGTAGGAATTGGCAATTTTGTTTGTTATTTATGTTGTGGAACCAGTCAATAGTTGTTTTCGTATTTTTCCACTGGTTTACTTCTAATGAAAATAACACTGACATCTCATTTTAACAGATATATTTACCAAAATTATCAAAAATATCTTAAAATACTAAAGAATAAATTTATTCAATAAAATTTCCATTGGTTTCAACTACAGCCTCCAGACAACTTCATAATCTCCTGCAACTCTTCTGGATGGTCTTCTTGTTTAAGTTGGTGAATGCTGCTATAATCCTTGCCTTCAGTTCATCTTTGGTGTTACAAAGAGTTTTGTTGGTTCTCTCTCTCAACTGCACTCCATACATAAAAATCAAGGGAGTTGCAGTTTGAGGAGTTAGGTGGTCAGATGCAAGGGATGATGTCGTCACAGAAATTATCTGATAATCATGATCGGGTTCTCCTTCTTCTGTGGCATGGTGCAGAGTCCTGTGGCCAGACATAGTGTATTCCAGCAGCCATTCTCTTGACCCCAGGGCACTACTACCTCCTCAAGGCACTTGATGTAGGCCTCCATATTGAGTTTGAGGCACCATGGGACGATGAATGAGGGCATAATGTTGCCATCACTAGTGATCACTCCAAACACCTTCATTATCACCATTAGACTCATCCAACTCTTTCTGAATCCTCTGCATTGTCCTCAGATTGATACCCAAACCTTCTGAAATGTTCGTATTATAGCTTCTGGCACAAATGCCAAGTACTACAGCATGCCTTTTTCAAATTTCTGGCAGAGTGAATTGCATCATAGTGATCTTTTTCTCACAGACGGTGCCCAACTGTGCAGTCAACAAAATCAAAAACATTGTGCATGCACAAAATTAAAAGTATGAAATGGTGACAATTTACCCATTGCACCCTGTATATATTATCAGGTTGTCATTTCATGTTGAAACACTGGCTCCTGTATGATTACCATTAAACAATGTCAAGCCTACTCAGTACCTAAATGGTTGGCCACTTGGGAATATATGGTGCCCCACGCTTGGATGTATGGGTGGTATAATGTATAATGGCTTGGAATGAAAAATTGGAGATCAGAGCTCAAATTCCAGCTGAGTTTGTTACATTCACTTATGCCCAAATACTCTTTGAAAAAGTATGAATCCATCTTTTCTTTTCCCACCCAGCAATGAGCAAATAGCAGGACAGACTGGGTTGTATAGTTTTGGTTAGTGACCAGTCTAGGATATGGAAAACTCTAAACCAGCATGGAGAGTGTTAACAAAGGGCAGATGAGTTTCTTATAAGAGCCAATAGCCAGCATGCAGCTAAAGTCTGTGATTGTAGTATCATCTGACATCTGAAATGAACAGGCTGGGAACAGATAGCAGATGATCACAGTGGCTGACATCATGTTGTTCATGGAGGGTCACGAAGGCTGGGAAAAGATGAAACCAACTGTTGGAGATAAGAAAAGAACAAAGTAAGCAGAGAATGTCAAACCACCATTCCACATTCCAGCTTTATCTGTCATGCAAGGATCGGTCTGTTAATCCACTCCAAACGCTGTTCACAAAAGGACAATGTTTGACCAAAAAGGACAGTACCATTATATCGTGAGATAAATGGATGCCTACTACTACTACTACTACTATGACATATGGCACACATTGTAGCAGTACAGGACATGGTGCTTTGATGGAAAGAGTGTGTATTGCAGGGCACTGGTAATTGACCACTTTAAACAATTCATTTGGGCAGGTTCTTCAGTAAATTCTCATCTATCCTTCTTGACAAGAGAATCTATTCATATATTTATGAAATTGCTGTAAAAACGAATATTGTTTATATCCACAATCAATGTCAATTGATTTTTGAATTGCATACATGATTTTTTTTTATAATTTAGGATTTTGACAATTATTCAGGTTGCTTAATTTTTGTGCAAGAATTAATATTCAATATGACTAGAATTTTCATACTTGGGTCTAATAAATAGAAAAGAATATATGTAATTAAACTAATAGAATTGGTACAATTCTTGAATACAGTATAAAATAATGTATTTAGTAACTTATATTGTTTCATTTTACATTTTTCTTTTTTAAGTTTCCCCCAGATATGAATTAAATAGCAGGACAAAGTGCCCTCTTTACAATGACTCTACAATGACTTTACAATGACTCTATGATCCCAACTACAGTTGTCTTTGATTGATTGATTTTTTAATTTTTATCGATTGATTTTTGAATTGCTGACATCAGTTGTGGAGTTGCTTAAGATTTAGTCAAATTTGAGTACACTTGCAATTTGAGTATTGTTAGAAGTTGCGTATAAAAAAAATCGTGAAAATGACAATAAATTTTTAATTGATAACAAACACATTATATCTCAGTTATACATTTCATTTATTTTATATCTGTATAAAATGTTATGTGGAACTCGTTTTCAGGACTAAAGAATAGTTATACTCTAATTATAATCAGCAACAAACCAAGCTTTGACCTCTTACCCAGCAGAGATGGATACTTCAGCTGGGATTTTATATTCATATCATTTCTCATACCATCAACAGATTCTTTATTTTCTTTGTTCTTTTACAGATGATTTTATCAACCAAGGAACTGGAATGATTTTGCTTTACACATTGAAGAATCCATCCTATCCAAAATATCATTTGCCTACAGACTGTGGTGTCATGTGCCTGGACATTCACCCGGTCCATTGCTATCTTATTTGTGCAGGCTTCTATGATGGAAGTGTAGCTGTGTACAATTTGTGCAACATTAAAAATCCCTTGATACAAAGATGTACTGCTAAAAACGGAAAACATACTGACCCAGTCTGGGAGGTTAGTTATTATTGTTAATTTTTAAAAGTTAATAAACAAACTTGTGTTGAATATTGGTGAAATAAGATGATCTCTCTCACCCTCTCTTCATGCACACACTCAACACACACATACACATACACATACACATATGCATACACACAAACATATATAAATATAAATTATAAATAAATATATATAGAAATTATTATTAAGAAACAAACAACTTTATGGTTACATGATGATTAAAATTATTTCCTTGGGATTGAAATTCTAACCTTTAATTCCTCAGATTGACCATTCTCACACATATAAATGGGTGACATATATTCTAGGCACAAGAAGAATTATGTATTATCATTTTTAAATTATGCACACATTTGTTTGAGGAGGCAGGTTTAAATTGGTGGCAGTAGGGGTTGAAGGAGATATATATCTCTCGAAAGGGATAAGGTGATTGAGAGAGTGGAAGACGAAAAATAGGCAAACAAAATTAGGGAAGGAAGAAAGAAATAAAGAAGAAAAGAGATAGATGTATTCACATCCAGCCTTAAAGTTGCCTGTTTCTTAATAGTAATTAATATGTGCTCATTTTTTTTACATTGAGCTTTCTGGATTATATCCTCCTTGGAATTATCCATATGGATTAACAAACATCATTAACTATATATATATATATATATATATATATATATATATATATATATATATATATATATATTCCCATAGTCACACAAAAATTCAATTGCCCTTTGTAAGAACTGCACATCTTTTGTTTGAATTTCTTAAAGCCTGTATATACTAACTTTTTATTTTCAGATCTAAGGAAATAATGGATTTTATTGATCATCCAACATTATCTTTTATTTTATTGTTTATTTTTAATTGACATCACCCCAATCAAGGCCGTAATGTCACCAAAACATGAAAGGCTACAGGGTGTGGAAGAATTAGGAACAAAAACATTAATGATGAGAAGAAAGAGAAGATAGTAATCAGGTGGATAGCAAATAGCGATTGACACTGCATTCAAATTTTTACAGACAAAAGCTGGCTGGAAAGCATGGAGCTGGAAGGGAACCCCATAAGTGAGAAGTGTGAGAGAAGAAACTGTTAGCATAGAATCCATGGCTACATCTAGCCAGTTCAATTGCAAATGGATGAGATCCTGATGCCAGTTCAGTGCTGCACTCACATTCAAAAACTCGAGGCACCATAGCGAAGAACTCACTCAAACAATTACAACAAAAGTATCTACATAAAAGACACAGAGAGGCAACCCTATGGCAGTGGGAAAGTGACTGGAGCCGAGCTACTAGATCAGGACCAACAACATTGCAGATTCTTCCTGGGATCCTATCTAGGTAAATAGCAGGGGCACAGCACCACATGTGGCAGCAACATTCCAAGTATGGACGAATGGCCGACTTATAGAGAAAAATTGTCTTGCCCTACACAGTGAACCTACCTTCCCAGCAGCCAACCCAGCAAGAGACTCAATACAGTCTTTCCACTTCATATCAGCAGAGAATGCGAGCCCAAGAAGGTGCAATGAGTCACCCTCCTGGAGGATAACATCAGGCACACTGATGGAAGGCAGCAAGGGGTCACTCAGATGAATAGTGGAGAAAAGTTTAGCCTTGGAGGTGCCAATATATATATTTCTTATTACTTTCAAAGTTATATTTCGTGAATACATGCATTTGAGTAGGTTTTCTTTGTTTTTTCAACAGTGTAAATTTATGTCTACTAGCCTGTGCATTCAGGAGTCATAATAAAGACATATATATTTATTTTTCACCATGATTTCTTTTCTTTTCTATGTACTTAAAGCAGTGCATCTCCACTAAGTACATAGATTGAACATCCTACAGTGAAAATTTCAGATCACAGTTCAACTAATAGCCAAAATATTTTTGATAAAAAATCACCTGAGGATATTGTAAAGTTGAAACCAAGGTAGTGGATTTAACAGAACTCCTGATTTATAAAGTTAAAAGCGCTACATGTTATTTTTACTTTCTTTTTTTTTACACATGTATTAAGCACTTTTTAATACTACTGTTTCCTGGCCTAATTTAACTCTGACCATTAACCTTTTATGTATTATATATATGTGTGTATGTGTGTGTATGTCACATTAATCATATATATATATATATATATATATATATATATATAATAAAAAGGCTTAAACACTAGTACTCTATGGTCATAATTTATTAGATTGGAATTGTAAAAATTAAAAAAAAAGCAGAAAAAATAACTACGGGAATAAAAAAATAAAATTTACTGAGAGTGTATGTATGAGAGTGCGGGACGAATGCGAGAGTAAATGAAAGCTATAGGGAGGGGTAACAGATGAGAGAAGAACAGGAAAGTCTAAAGGTGAAGGTGGGGATTAAAATTTAACTGTGAGAAGTTTTAAAGAGGGGAGTCAAAGACAGTTTAAGTGAGCGAGATACAAATAAATATGAATATTCTCGAATGTCTAATACATTTCTGAATTGCTGACTTAAAATAAATTAAAGGTCAACACCGGAAAAGAGTATACATTTTGTGGTGACACACACACACAATAGACAATATAATCTACAATTAAAGATCAGAAAATGAGAGAGGGAGAGGGGGAAAAAATAAGTGGGGGGAATAGGGGTGCAGCTAAAACCGAAGGGCATTTATAAAAGGGCCTCTGTGCAATCAAGAAATTTGACAAAAGTAATATCAACTACAGGTTACAAATCTAATATAAACATATAAAAAAATAGCGATTATTTAATCTAGCAAGGACCTATTATTACTATGTTCAAAAACACATACATATACACACATACACAACAACCTATTTATATTTACACTTACATATATCCATATAAGTGTGTACACACATAACTATATATATATATATATATATATACACACACACACATACATACATTCATACACCTCCACTCCTACATATATATACATTTACACACATATACATACGGACATATATATATATATATATATATATATACACATATATATATATATATACATATATATATATATATATATATATACATACACATATATATATACATACATATATACATACACACACATATATATATATATATATATATATATATATATATATATATATATATACCTCCAATTAGACAAGATCAAAGACATTTTCGATAAACCACCCATAAATGCAAAGAAACAATCACCTAACCTATCAGCTATCCTCACCTCTACCAAATATCTAAACAATAGAAACCAATCAGGAAATTACAAATGTAACAAACCTCATTGCTTAGTTTGCAAAAATTTAATAATAGCTAATATATTTTCTGTACCCAACACCAATATCAGGATACAGCCACCTAACCTCACCTGCGATAGCCATAACGTAATCTATTATTTATTCTGCAACTTATGTCCTAAGAGTGGATATATTGGTGAGTCTGGAAATAATTTTAGATTTCGTTTCAATAACCATAAACAAACAATACGTCAAAACAACCCTTATTCCCCTATAGCTAAACACTACAATCAATCAGGACACACATTAGAAAACTGCAAATATTTATTGATAGATTCCGATTTTACTTCCACATTCACACGCAGAAAAAAAGAAACATATTGGATTTTAAAATTAAATACACATAAACTAGGGTTGAATAGGGACTTAGGTGTTTTAAATCTTTATAAATATTTCAATAGTTAAGCAATTTTTTTTAGATATAGTAAAAAAATTTTTTTAAACAACATCTAAAATATTTATGACAGTTAGATTTAAGTTAGGAATATCCGAACAGTGACGTTCCATATCACGTGACGTCCGTATCTCGTGAAGGACGCTACTTGCTAACAAACAGTAATTTTAATTTATTTGTAACAAACAGTTATTTCTGATGAAAAATTGAGGACAATTTGAAATATCAAATATATATATAAATAAATAAATACTTTCATAAAATAAAACATTATTATTTTTTTATTTGAAACTTTTTCTATATATATATATATATATATATATTTATATACTAGCAGCATAGCCCTGCATTGCCTGTGCTTGATTCAAAAATCATACGACTCATACAGCAATCGCTATCACTTGACTTAAAATATTTTTGCCCTTCCTTGCCTTTAAAGCAGTGCCCTTTGCCGTGCTGATGTTGCTACATGCCTTACTTCTTGCCCATCTCACACTGTGAATTTTTTCTAAGCTCTATACTAAACATTAAATCTGTTATGAAAAAAGAACTAAACAAAATGAACACAAAACGATCAGCTTTAAAAAGGACTCGTAACTGGAAAAACCGAATGAAAAAAGAATGTTAACAACAAATCTTTTTTCACACCCAACCCAGTTCGGCAGAATCAGAATCAATGTTGAGTTTAAGCAAGCGAATGAGCCAATTGGAGTAAAGTGCCATGCAGATTTAAATTTTTCCCACTTGTGACGAATGCAGCTATTGATTTTTTAGCATGCTAGTTAACATTTGTGTCAGTCAGCTGTTGGCTCTCACGCTGGCCAATAGAATCTACCTATTCGTGGCAGCCAGCTATAGGCTCTCACTCTGGCCAGTAGAAAATGGCCACAAACTACATGAAAACTGCCGTAGAAACATGAAAAAAATCGATTATTTCCACTATCGACGAGAATTGGGAAATGCAAAGTCGGTCTTGGCCTTCCCACTAACTTGGAGCATGTGCATGTAAATTTTGGTGAAAATCTGTTGAAAATTGCAGCCGTGCATTCATTACACACACACACACATCCTGCCATTTATATATATATATATATATATATAGGATTAATGTGACATACACACACACACACACACACACATATATATATAAATTTATATATATATATATAATGAAGAAGAGAAGCTGAGGAAACAACAAGGACAAGTAACTTTCTTAACAAGTTTAAGTAAATAGATGATAGAACAGAGGGTCATTAAGGGGCAAAAGTTACTTAGAACAACAAAAGAGAGGAAATTGTAGAGAACCATGATCAC